GGGGGGGGGGGGGGGGGGGGCGCGGGGGCGCGGGGCCGCGGGGGCGGGACTCTGCCCGGTGACGTGCGCGCCCCCCGCAGTGACGGGCCCGCCCCCGCGCGGCGAGACCGAGCTCCAAGTAGCGTTTCGGGAAGTGGTGAGCTGGGCACCGCAGGACGCGGAAATGATCGAGCCCTGGCGGCCCAGCCTGGGCGAGCTGCTGGCCAGGCCCGAGGCCCTGACGCTGGGCAATCTCTGCATGCTCGCAGCTGTAGCCGCCCTGGCATCTGCGATGGCGACCATGCTGGTGTGGTGAGTCCCAGCGTCCAGCTGCCCCTCCTGCAGACCCAGGGAGCCAGGCTCAGACCCAGGACTCTCTAGACTCCAGCCCTCCTCCCTCAGACCTAAGAGGTCCAGGTCCCACCAAGCCCCCTCCCCCGGCCAAGAGACCAGGTCCCCGTCCCTCCCTCAGACGCAGGACTCTAGATCCCAGTGACTCCTGCCTCAGACCCAGGGGTCCAGACCCCAGCCCTCCTCCTCAGACCTGGGAGTCAGGCCCTGCTCACCTTTTGAGATCCCGAAATCAAGGCTTCAGTACCTATATTTCTCTTACGAATCCCTCCTCCAATACATGTATCTCCTTGTGTCCCCAGGATGTTCTTTCGATGGTACCTCAGTGGCAACTAACAAAGCTATCTCTTCCTTATCCTATTTCCAATCCTAAAATAAAGAATATATTTCGGATTCTGGATTCATTGATCTTTGAAGTGGGCACTGTTAACTCAGGAGCAAGGGCAGCATACCCCCAATATGCTCCCGCGTCTCGCTGCCCCATGGTGGCTGCAGCAGGCATAGCAGTCATAGTGCAAGTCTCTGCGCTGAGGGCTTTTGGTGCCAAACTCAGTCCCTCCCTTTCTCTGTCAATCTCTCTGACATCTCCCTGCAGAAGACACCCAGAGTCCTAGATGTCTCCCTCAAAGCCTTCATCTCCAAGAAGGATGGAGCACCCACGTCCTTCTAGCAACTCAGAACCCACAAGCTTAAGTGGTGTTTTATTCTGCCTCCACTTTGAACCCATTTCTAAGCCTTGGACTTTTTGACTTCCCCCATGAGCTGCTCTTTGGGTGATGAGTCTCCCTCCGCATCTCTGCCTGGATCGCCATAGCAGCCTCTGCCCGGCCTCCTTGCCTTTGCTTGACCTTGCTCCACTTGGCAGCTGGAATGATATTTTTCAGTTTTTCAGACTGGGTCATTTCTCTGCTCCAAACCCTTCAGTGGCTCCCTACTGCCATTGGAACAAACCAGTTCCTCGACAAAGCCTCCAAGGCTCCCAGGTTCTAGCCCTTGCTGACCTTGCTGGTGTGTCTACCAGCCACCCAGGGTGAGGCACCACGCGTCTGCCCTGCAGTTCCTCTGCCCTGTTCTTCTTCCTCTTTGCTCACCACTGTGCTTCTAGTTCTGTGCCTTCTTTGAACTCTTCCCAGCCGGGGTGACCCTTTGACCTGCCCTTGAACTGGGCATGCAGCTCATACTTCCTTCCGTTTGGGGTGGTCTTCTCTGGTCCTCATGTACTCATTCCTGTTCTGATGTACGCCCCTTCATTGACTCATTCAGTCTATATATTGACCACTTGCTGTTGCCGGGTATTTTCAATGTCTTCTAGAATCAGCACTGAAGAAATCAGAAGAGAAAAAAAAAATCTGTGCTCTCATTGAACTTAGATTCTAGTGGATGGTAAAGAAAATTATTTCTCGGAACACTTCTGACACCCAACATGGTTTTTTTCCTCTTTTACCAACTAATTTCCCAACTCTCTAGACACCAGTTGAGTATTGTATAGTTTAATTCAATTTTGAAACCAGCTACCTAGAGTTAGTGTCAAGCTCCGCTGGTTTTAAGGGATCAGGCCCAGGAGACTACTCTCACTTAGACACAAGTCACAAAGAGTGGGTCCTCAGGGTACCTTCACTTCTGTCCAACTTGGCTTCCCTCCACCCCCAGTTCAGTACTTTGCTGGAGTAGCTCATGTAACTCAGGGGAACATTTGCTAACATTTACCAGCTCATTATAAAAGCTGGTAGAAAGGGAGCATTCACAGCCAGAAGGGGGACACAGGGTGAGGGCTGATAGGGTCCCAAGTGAAGGCATTTCAGTGCCTGTGGAGTTGGGGCACACCACCCTCCTCACACATGGGTGTGTTCGCCAACCCTGGAGCTCTGTGAACCTCCTGTTAGGGGTTTTTCTGGAGGCTTTGCCTTGTTGGCATGGTCATCAGTTATCCTCAGCCCTTCTCCCCTCCGTAAGGATGGCAGGTGGGGCTGAAAGATACAAGGGCCTCATCATCACGGTTGGCTTAGTCTTGCTGGTGACGAGCCCTATCCAGGAGCCAACTGAGACAGGAGAGCAAAAGATGCTATGGTCACCAGAAGGTCCAAGGGATTCAGCCGCTCTATGACAGGAACTGAGGGTAGACACCACATATGTATTTCTTACTATGTCACAGACAGCTAAAAAGCAAGAAATTAAGCAGAGTCATGTATCTATCCAGCTATGACAGTACACAGGGAGAAGGCGGGGTGCGGGGTGGTGGGGGGGCTGCGGACCTTAGGAGAAGGCCTGGCAGAGAAGGTGGTAGCTGAGCAAGACTTGAAGGGGAAGGGGGTGGTGTGAGCTGCCCTGATAGTTCAGGGCAGTCTAGGCAAGGACAGCTGGGGCGGAGCCCTGAGACTGGCATACTAGGAATGCCAGGTATGCGGGGGAGTAAGGAGGCGGGGGTAGCTGGAGCTGCAGGAAGTGAGCACCCCACAAGATCAGGGAAGTGGGTCAGAAGGGGCCAGATGGTGCCGACGTGGGCACGGCAAGGTCTGTGGATTTTCCTCTGAGAGTCATGGCAGTGTTGGAGCCAAGGGAGGTCAGGATTCCATGTGCAAGGGGCAGGGTTGGCACAGGTGTTGTTAGGGGTCACTGTTAGGCACCGCAGTGATCTAGGCAAAAGTGAAATTCAGGGACAAGGGAGGATGAGGAGCAGTAGCTTCATGTGTGTCCCAGAGACAGACAAGGGGATTCACTGAGGGATCAGGATGTTGGGTGTGAGAGAGAGAGAAGGGTCAAGGTCACTCTGTGGCACTGTCCAGCAGAACCATCTGCATTAATGCAAATGTTCTAGAGCTGCACTCTCCCTATGGCAGCACCAGCCACCCATGGCCACAGTTTACTTGAAAGGTGCCCAGTGCAGCCAAGGAGCTGCATTTATAACCTTGGGTGGCTTTATTTACTGTCTGTCAACAGTCCCCACCCCAGGACAGCAGACGTCATAGAGACTTGTCCAGGCATTCCTAACTATGGATCACAAGCTCCCAGCCCACTTGGCTGGGAGCTCGTCAGATGCAGGAGGACTCACTCGTTTCAGTTCTTGCAACCCTGGCAAAGCATGTGGCACTCGGTAGGCACTTGGTAAATGTGTCTGTGACTCCATCAATGAATGACTGAAAAGAGTGTTTTATATAGTTCTGTGTAGTGGTGGCTTTTGTTGGGGACAGGACAACAGTACATTTTTGGCCTGGGCAGCTGGAGTGATGCAGTTGTTTCCCAAGACGGGGACACTGTTGGAGGACCAGGTTTTGTGGGCTTTGGGGGAGGAAGGGGAGGAGAGATGGTGCTGGGTGTGAGATGCCTCTTGGGTCTCAAGGGGAATGTGTGTGAGCGGTCAGATATACAAGGGAGGAATTTAGGGGCAAGATCTCATCTGAAAATGAAAATATGGGAGTCCCATTTCCAGGCACAGAGCTTAAAGGAGACACTCAGAACCATAACACCAGACACACCCAGGAAGCAAGTGTGGTGGATAAGAGGGGAGACCAGGCTTCACACAAGGAACCTGGAAAGAGAACGGGGTGGGGGAGGACAGCAGGACACCTGTGGCATCCTGAAAGCCACGTGAAGAAAGCACTCAGGAAGGAGTGTGAGTGACTGTGCCACCTGCCACCAAATCATTAACAGGAGGCCTGAGAATCACCGCTGGCTTTTGCAATGTGGACATCGCTGGTGAGCTGGACCAGAGCAGGCAGTGGAGTGGGGGAGGAGTCAGTGCAGCTGCTGGCTTGGGATTGAGTCAGTGGCACTCAGCACTGTCCGTCATTAGGGAAATGCAAATCAAAACCACAGTGAACTAGCACTTCACACCTGCTAGGATGGCCTGCAATCCAAAGGTCAGGTTATAACCAACGAGGCGATGATGCAGAGCAATTGGAACCCTGGTGACAGTGCTGGTGGGGATGTAAAATGACAGGTACCCTGTGCAGGAGTTGACAGTTCATCAAAAATTAACAGAATTTCCACAGGACCCAGCAATTCCATCCTAAGTATATACCCAAGAAAGTGAAACAATGTACGTCCACCCAAAAACATGATGAATGTTCATAATGGCATCATTCCTGGTAGCCCCCAGGAGAAACCTCCCAAATGTCTACCCACTGATGAATGGATAGACAGGCACGAGATAGACATGCTATAGAAGACTGGCAATAAATAGGAATGAACCAGAGACACCTGCAACCAGGTGGATAAATCTTGGAAACATGCTGAATGGAAGAGAGCCACAAAGAGCGCATGCTCCAGGTTCCAGTTATATGAAATGTCCACAATATACCTGTACACAGGAGGCAGACCAGTGCCTGCCCGGGTCTTGCAGGGAGAGTAGTTGAGGAACAAGAAGGGATGCAGTGGGGATGGGGCTCCTTTTGGGGGGTGATAAATTGCTCTAAAATTAGATTGTGGTTGCTATAGGTTGGATCTTAAGTGGCCCCCAAAGGGCCATGTGTTAGAGGCTTGGTTGTCTGTCCTGCTGCTGGGAAACAGTGCAGCCTTTAGAAGGTGGCCTAGTGGAAGAAGGTAGGTCACTGGGGGTATGCTCTTGAAGGGGATACTGGGACCCAGCATCTCCTGTCTTTTTTGTATGTATGCTGGGAATTGAACCCAGGGTGCTTTACCACTGAGCTACATCCTACGCCCTTTTTGTTTTTATTTTGTGACCTGTCTCCCTAAATTTCTGAGACTGGCTTCAAACTTGCACCACTCCTGCCTCAGCCTCTGGAGTGAGTCCCTGGGTTACCGTGTGGCCTCTGTGCCTGGCCCCCCTGCCTTTCTTTGCTTCTTGACCTCATGGAGGCCAACAGACATCCTCCCACCATGATTCCTAGGCCACCTCGGCCCAAAGCAACAGAGCAGAGCCACCAACCAGGGACTGAAACCATAAGCAAAACTAAACCTTTCCTCATTTTAAGTTGATCGTCTCCAATATTTGACACAGCCACAGCATGTGATGGCTGCCCCAATCTATGAACTTAGTAAACACGTTGGCTGTACACTTGGAAAGGGTGAACTCTGTGGGAGGGAAATTGGAAACACATTCAGACAACAGAGCAGAAATGGAGCAGCCGCTCCAGGGGAAGCGGAAGTCCAGAGAGAATCTTTGAAATGGGAAAGTGAAAAGCGTGTTTTGAGGCTGATGGGGAAGACCTCGGAGGGAGGGAAGAGCCGATGACTGTGGATCAGGGCGGAGGCTGTTGGAGCGAGATGTCAGAGGAGAGGAGGGGGCTGGCCTTGGCTGGACCACTGACAGTTCACCTCAGCAGTAGGATGGAGGTGGCCGTGGCCGTGGTGGGCAAAGATCCACGTGAGAGGTCAGGTGTGGAGTGGGCATGCTGATAGGTCTCCTCTTGGAGTCCATTCCTGCTGGGTGAGGC